GTAACAACAGTGAAGAATTAGAGAGGCATATACAAATCTAGTAATAAAAATCATTAATCTTACTTAAGTACTTCCTACTTGCCAAGTATTTTACGAAGCACTTTACATGCATTTTCTTATTTGGTCCTACCCTTGTAAGTATGTGGTATTATACTTATCATTTTACAGAAGAAGAAAATAAGGTTTTGAGAAGCCACATAAACTGTGAGAGACATTAATGTAAAATATCATTACCAAGAAGGATTTAATTTGAGGATTAGATATGAGTTAATTATGAGGCTTCTCTTAGTAGTAGTTTCTAGTTCTTTTTTCTTTTCCTTATATTCATTCTGAGCTCTCTATTCTATGATTTATATTCTTTCTATGCATATGACACATCAGTATCTCCTATCCTCTGAGTTTTTGTTTAACATTTAGATTTACTTATCTTACCACTTGGCTTGATTGAGTCACCACGGTTGAACAAGGCAACATGATAGAATACAAGAGCATGGGCTTTGTATTGCTTGGCTTCAAATCTTGGTAAGCAGGTGTGTAGCCTTGAGCAAACTTTGGCAACCCTAGTTTCCTCATTTGTAATAATTGTTCTCTCTGTATTCAGACTTTCCCCTTCTAATTTCCCTCTCTGTCATCAGTTGCCTCTGTTATTTCAGTCTCCAAGATTATTTAAATTCCTTCTATTACTATACCAGACATTGCTACTCATGGCACTCTCTGCCATTGAACCTGGACGTGGGCAGGAAATTATTGCCATTTATTAATTATAGTTAGTTTTCAGGCATCATCAGCTCTGCCTTTTATTCTTTCTTCATTCCTCACCCTCATCACTATATTCCATAACCTTTCAAAGTACTTCTGTTCCACTTCTAGAGCTGCACTGTCTAATATGGCAGCCATTAGCCATGTAGCTACTGAGCAGGTGAAATAGCTAATATGGATTGAAATGTGCTAGAACTATAATTTGTACATCTGATTTCAAAGATTTAGTGTTACAAAAAGAATATAAAATATCTCAATATGTTTCATAGTGATTATATGCTGAAATGATAGTTTTTTGATATATTAGTATAAAATATATTTTAAAAATTATATCTGTGGCTTGCAGTGTATATATATATATTTTTTTTGATAGTGCTGCTGTAGACTTTAGACACCACTAAATAATTCTTCCTAAAATCATCACTGTCATCTTGCCATTCTTATTTTAGACTAATTTTTTTACCATGTCAGACTTTCTAAAGGCTCTCAGTAGTATGATCACAACCTACATATCCTCTTATATTTTTCATTGCTGCTAAGCTGGTTCTCTGGATATCAAAGAAGACATCATGTTCATGCTCACTGTGATGCCTTTTTCAAGTTGTACTTCCTACCTCGAGTTGCTCTGGCCTCCCCTTTTCCCTTATCAAATAACACCAAAGCTGTCCACTTCCATAAAGCATTTTATTTGTACCTCAGACTAGCATTCTGCCTATTTCAGTCTCTGTTGATTTTTGTGTATGTTAAATCTCAGCTTTCCAACTGGACGAGAATGTCTTTGGCAATACTCATGTCTATGTATTTTAGCAATTTCTGCCATGTATGTCTTGCTATCATTGAATTGTTCTCATTTCATTGTTTGAATTGGGTCTTGGAAAAGATAGGTAGCAGATGGATCATAGAGATGAAAGGCAATGATAATAAGGAAAGTGAATAATATCTGCAGGAATTCCATCCTGTTTCCAATCTTCTTAAAGAATAATTCAGAAGATTATAAGAAAAGATTTAGAGGTATAATTTTATTTTTGACCTTTACAAAGAAGTTGTTTTCCCAAGGATAATAAACTGGTGTTGTCTTTTCAAATGATTTTTTTATCATTTGAGAAGTTTTCATATTTACCTCTTATTAGTTCCTTACCGTGAAAATAATTCTTGCCACATTAAAATAATTCTGTGCTCTACTAGAACCTGGAACATAATCTTGATTTAGTGACTATTTTTAAGTCTTCAGATTTTGGATATAGTATAATTTATATACTTTATATAAGAATATATATATTATTATATTAGTTATATTAATATATTATTTAATTAATATATTTTATAATTATAATAATTATATATAGTTATAGTAATGATATATAATTATATATTTATAATAAATAATTATAATTATATGTAATTATAATAATTATTTAATTAATATGTTATATATTATTATATTTCTAATTTATATACTTTATATACTATACTATATATATATATATATATAAATAACTTCACTATGTTTAAAAATTGTCTTGTTACATTCAGGTTTCTCAGCCACATAGGCACTTGCCCTTTAAACATATTTCCTTTATTTTAGTAACTTTTTCTCAGCTCCTGAGTGTAATTTCCCATAATTTAAAAGAAGTCCTTGTTACAGAATGAAACCTTCTTAACGATAAACTCAGACAAAAGCTACATTTGGCTGATGCACAAGATGTTCCAAATACTTCTACCAGCTAAAACGACATGTGGTTGCTTTCTTGTGGCTTGAAGAGGAGCAGCATTCGTTACTTTCCCAGCTGAATCCAGTAGCAGAATCACCTTCCACAATAAGGAATAAAGTGATTAAAGTACCAGTGCAATGATTGTTTTCACTCCTGCTTTTAGTAAATTTGACTCGCTGCTATTCATCCTAACTGGAGCCTCGGCCTTGTTGAAGGCTTAATCAGGTTGTGCTGCTATGCTTTCCATTGTTGCCTTATGGGGGTTATACTTGAAATGCATTGTGCAGAATGTTAATAATAGGGCTGAAGGTTTCTCCTTCCTGAGCTCACCAAACTTATTCCCATGTTGCTTATAAGTTGATGATGCACAGGCTTTTTGTGGCAGCCCCGCTGCAGTTTACGTTAGACAATCAGTACACACACTGGTGTTTTCCAGTGGCCAGTGACAACAAAATGGTAAATGAGTATTTGTGAAATTTGCTATTTTTAATAAAAGTGATTGTTTTAAATTGGTCTTTATTGTTTTATTTTGAAGAGCCCTGTAAGTCTTTCAATCTGGGGATACAAGATTTCCATCCTCCAAAGTACACTGTCTTTATAAAATTTTGGGTTATGTAATTTTCTTCCAGATTTTGCACCTTGTACACATTTCAGTATTGGTGTCAGTCATGAAAAGAGCATGGGCTTTAAAGTCAGACCTTGATTTGAATCCCTATTCTGCCCCTTAGCTTTCTATTCATGCACCTTTACTTTGTTTCTTTGGGTTTAACTTTTGTTTTTCACCTAGAAATGAGATTAATAACCAATTTGTACTGGTTATGAGGAGAAAGTAAAAAGGTGTATATAAGTTGCTTATCACAACAGCTTACACCACTAATACAGAGCAAACATCATCAGTTTAATTGCCCATTTTACACAGCTTTTTTGAAATAATTAACTCATACACCATAAAATACACCTTTTCAAGTGTACAGCTCAGTGGTTTTTACTGCATTCACACTTGTGCACCCATCACCATAATCTAATTGTAGGACATTTTCATCACTTCCATCTTTTCAAAAAGAAGCCCATTGGCAGTCACTCCCCATATCCCAACCCCCCCCAGCCATTTGTAACTAGTAATCTACTTGCTGTCTATGGATTCACCAATTCAGGACATTGTGTATGAACGGAATCAAGCATGGTTTTTTATGACTGACTTCTTTCACTTAATGCAATATTTTCAGGGTTTGAGGGTTCATCTGTGTTGTAGCATGGATCAGCACTATATACATATATGGCATATGTATATACACACACACACACACACACACACACACACACACATATATATAACCAGATCATATCCTGTTGTGTAGATATGCCACATTATGTTTATTCAATCATAGCTCAATTGCCTTCACATTTTAGAAGAGGCCCATGCTTCTTCCTTGTTTCCAGGATAGAGAAACAAGCACTTATTCGGGGGTGGGAGAGTGAAAGTCATTGAATGATACAAATCTTGATTTTAGTAATTTTTGGCATTCTGAGTTCAAAGAATTTTGACCGACTTATCTAGTGGGTCTTTTTGATACCCCTTTTAAAAATGAGAAAATTAGCAGAACGTTAAAGACAATCTTCTAAACTTTTCACGTGGATTGCAAAAATAGGGATTCCAGGGTGGGCAAATAGCATTTCAGGACCCGACAGAGCAAAAGGAAATTTTGCCATGTGACGTGTTTTTCTTGGATGGGTTCTGAGACAGAGTAAAGCAAAAGCTGTTTCCTGTGGATTAGCGACAGAGCATCAAATTGACCTTGTTTATTCATTTGGTTTATTTGTCCTTTGTGTCAAGGAGCCCCATGGGGGCCTCAGGTAATAAAATTTTAGCTTATCTAATTTGTACCCTTTCATAAGAAAACATATTAAAGGCAGCAGGAAAAAAAAAAAAAGAGGTGCCTGGGTTAGAACAAAACTGTATTAGAACAAAATTATATATTATATAGATGTGTTTTCTCCGTAGACAAATTTTAATTACCAATTACTTAAAAAAAATAATGCCAGAGCAAGCCATTTATCATATTCTGTGCTACTTCCAGATCCCTTAAGCTTGTTTGCTTTGATTTGGGTTCCTCCTGTATAACGCTAAAATTGATAGTAAGTATTAAAATAGTCTGAGGATTTGCCAAAAATAATGCCCCACCTTTCCCATCCCAGGGCCTTAATATTGCTGGCTTCAGCGTCCCATCTCGTCTTGGTTGAGGTCCTGCTACCCGGCGTCTGCCCCTCTGCTCCAAGCCTTCGGGGGTCCCACCCTAGGCTCCCCGGGGGACGGCGAAGGAACCCGGCAGGGCTCCGCGCGCGGCAGGCGGGGAAGGCGCACACGGTCCAGCTGTCCCCGCGCGCAGGCGCAGGAAGGCCGCGGCCTGGTGCGCGGGGCCGGGGCGCCGGGGTGGGAGTGTGGGGAGGGTGTTTGTCGGTCTCCATGGAGACGGCGCCCCGCTGCGGCCGCTAGCTAGAGTTCCTGCTTTTAACTCCGCGGTGGAAAGAGGAGGCAGTCGCTCCGGTCCCCGTCCCTCGGCCACCTCCGGGAGGTAAAGCCCTTGCTTCTGGGCCGCGCATCTTCTGCTTGGGATCCCATGGGCACGGGCTTCCCCTCGCCACGCCTGGGAGACCCTAAACAGCGCTGAGGAGGACACTGTTCCCCCTCCGCCCCTGACCTTGAGAACCTCCGCAGCCCAACAATTATCCAGAAAACCCTGCAGTGGCTCTGGGGAGAAACAAAAATCTGGGTAGATGTGAGTTGGGCGGTGGCAAGGGAACTGAACCTCCTCCAGAGCATTCATCTGGGATAGAAATGGAGTCAAGTTATTGAGCACTTTGGAAAGCACTGATTTTCTTTCGACCCCAGACTGGCTCACACCAACTCCTCTCTTCCTGCCAGTTCTCAAGTTCTCACTCTCCTACCCTGGAGTCCCGGCTGCGTGGGGAGTCCGGTGGTGGGGTGGGCGTAGAAGGGAAATACAGACTCTGTGGTGAATACGGTGCCTGGTTAGAACTGCATTGCTCTAGGAATTAATATGCTAAGATTTGATGAACAGGACAAATAATTAAAGACATGATACTTATGTATATTTTTCTTTTTGAAAAATATTCATGCTGCGCTTACTAAACATTCTTGCCATAAGTATCAGAACAGAATATCCTGACATCATCCCTATCCAAGTTCAGCACAACCCAGGCCACTGTTTTCAGGCCCGTCTTGACAGTTGTGCACCTTGGGAACCTCAAAAATCATGCTCTAAAACTTATTTCAGAAGAAGAAAGTAGGGATTAGAGACTTGAAAGTTTGAGAACAGCCAGAACTGTTCATTTCTCCTGAACGAGTTTAAATAGTATGGCTGCTTCTTGTTGCAGCTCTAATTTTATAGTTTTACTTATTTTTTTAAAAGATTACATTTTTATTTATTTGACAGAGAGACAGCCAGAGAAGCAACATAAGCAGGGCGAGTGGGAGAGGGAGAAGCAGGCTTCCTGCAGAGCAAGGAGCCTGATACCCAGGCTTGATCCCAGCACCCTAGGACCAGGACCGGAGCCCAAGGCAGACGCTTAAGGACTGAACCACTCAAGCGCCCCTAATTTTATAATTTTAAACTTATTTATCAGTGAGCCAATCCAGCATTTGATCATGTCCAGTCTGGGTTCACAAACGTGGCATTCTTAGCATCTCCTGTGCTACCAATAGTGCGGGCTTCCTCCAAACATGTCATCACTTCCATTATCCATTACTAATTTGTGCATTTAATAAAAATTATATACCACTTTATGTTCAAAATAAGTCATGTTTCTTCATGCCCTGAATCCATTTAACTTATCTGGAAGTCTTTTATTTCTGTTTTTCACTAATCACACAAATTTTTCTTGTACTCTGGTTCTGTTTGCAATCTTTAGAACCAGAAACTTTTTATAAAGATTTTATTGATTTGTTTGTTTGAGAGAAAGAAAGAGAGAACACATGCTTGAGCAGGCGTGGGGGAGTGGCGCAGAGGGAGAGGGAGAATCTCAAGCAGATTCTAGCCTCAGGGCTCTGTCTCAGGACTCAGGGGAGATCATGACCCCAGCGGAAATCAAGTTAGTCACTTCAACAACTGAACCCCCCAGGTTTCCCCAGATAACTCTTGAGAGGCATATTTAAGGGGCTAAATTGGGGTTTCTGCCCCACTCTGACTAATTTATTCCTTCTTCATGATGCAAGAGGAAGACTTTCTATAGAATTTTTTTTCCAGTGCATAGAATCTAAAAGTTTCTCAGGGAAGGAATGTCAGGTACATATTTTGGAAAGTTTAGGTGACTTTGCATAGCCTCTGAAATATTGAAAATATAGAACATGCTCAAGGGATTAAATTGTAGAGAATAAATGAATCATGGTACAACTTGCATGTGTGGATCATAAGAGAACTCAAATGTAGGTACCTCTGTGGCAGGGAACAATGTTTTGTTTCTAATTTCCCTTCAAATCACTTGAGCACTTGAGTCCTGCCGTGGAGCAGGACTAGGTGAATTTACATGTCTCCTGCTGTGTAAGAAATCACCAAGGGAAACAGTTAATGGCAGTAAGATTCTGCTTTACCCCAGTGACAATTTAGCTCTCTGTATGGGCTGCCAATTGCCCAGCCATCCTAACCCTTAATCTGGCTTTGGTTGTCACACAACGAGCTCTTCCCCACCTTGCACCCCCCCCTTTTTTTATTTGTTAAGCAAAGAACTGCTAGTGTCAGTTGCTGATTTCCTCATCAATAGCCAGTTGTATGGTCAGCCATGTAAAAGAAATTTTTATTTCCAAATGAACCCATAGCAGTCATTCAACCCATTTAAGTTACACTCGCTCTTTAGGGGAAAATCCAGTATAATTTTTAAACTTAATAACCAATTATTCCCTGTCTGAAGGTGGATGCTTTTCTTTACCCTGCCTTTCTCCTCTGTCATCTAACTGCCAGGGTGAATGGGAGAGGTGAAGGAGCTGGAGTATGGGGAAGAGATTTACTAGCACAGTGCAGGTCAGAGTAGCCACTCAAACAAACATTAAAATAACCATAGCTTTTCTCACACAGCTCCCTCCCCACTTTGATTTTGTAACAGCATGTATGTTAGATCTAGTTCTAAATGAGAAGAACCACAGATTGGGGTCTCCAATTTCATTTCCTTCTTGCGACACACTTCAGAAACATTTAGAGCCCTTGTTTTCCATGGTCAGGTAAGAAAGGGTATCAAGTTGGTGTCACTCATGCTAGGGCCTCAATTCAGTGGACACCTGGGCCATAAGCATGGGAGTGGCTGGACCTTTACTTTTCTAGGCGTGACTCGCTACTTTGTATAAGAACAAGAGAAATCCTAAACGATCAGGGAAGAACTTCATGGTACAGTATTTTGGCTCTTGGAGAAAGGGCACAGAGAAAAGATGAAGAATGGATGAGAATTTGGTTTTGTACACTGAGGTTTTGAGGCGCTCTTGGTGATAGAAGATATCAGGGACTGCCATACTGTAAACATAATTCACAAGAAGTATTCTTGCCCCAGAATTCACATTCCAAATGAGCATCCTAAAACCTTCCCTTTCTTCCAATTTGCTGATGTTGTGAAAGAATAATCTGACAGATGTACATATTAATTCAGTCCTAAGGTTATTTTACCATGTACCTCATTTAACATCTTGATGAAGATTACTAATAAGATCTACACAAGTTGATAATTGTCACAGTTGTGACACAGGTGTCAAGTCCTAATAATTTGTGAAGGAATTTGGCTTTTTGTTTTAGCTTGTAACTTCCTTTTCAGCCCTTGAATTTGAAAATTAGGGGATATAAACAATTATTCACTTACTCATTCAACAAATACTTGCCAAATGCCAAATCAGTGCAGGCATTTTGTGGTAGGCATGTTCTAAAATGGCTCCCAATGACCCCAGCTTCCTGATATCCATGCCCTCATGAATCCCTCCCCTCGGGTGTGGGCTAGACTTGTTTCTAATGCAGGGGTTTTCCAACTTTTTCCGTAAAGGGTCAGGTAGTAAGTATTTTTGGCTTGTGACCTCTACAGTCTCTCCCTAATTACTCAGTTCTTCCTGCTACAGTATAAAAGTAACCATAGACAATATGTAAATAATTTTGACTAGCTGTATTCCAATAAAACTATTTACAAATGTGGTTGACAGGCTGAATGTGGGCTGCTAACCACATTTGCTCACCTATGTTCTGACTAATCAAAATGTGATGCTTCTGCGCTTATGTTACACAAAGACTCCAACTTCCATCTTGCCTGCTGTCTTGCCCTTTCACTTGTTCACCTGAGTGGAAACCAGCTGCCATTTTGTAAGCTAATAAGCAAATGAAGCTCACATGGAGGGGAATCCTCCGGCTAACAGCCTGCAAGGAACTGAGACCCTGTTCCTGTAGTCTGTGGGAACTGAATCCTGCCAACGACCACTGATATGAGCCTTGAAGTGGATCATTCCCCTGTCCAGCTTTTGGATGACTATAGCCCCATCTGAAACTTGGTTGTCAGACTGTGACCCAAAGGACTCCGTAAAACCATGCCTTGACTCCTCACACAGAAACTGTGAAATAATAAATGTTCATTATTTTAAGCCCCTAAGTTTTGGGCTTCTCTGTTACACAGCATGAGATAACCACCATGATCATCATATCACAATGCCGATACACATCATGATAGGCTCCTATAAGAATGAACAAGAGAGGCACGCCTGGGTGGCTCAGTCGTTAAGGGTCTGCTTCTGGCTCAGGTCATGATCCCAGGGTCCTGGGATCGAGCCCCACATCGTGCTCACTGCTCGGCAGGAAACCTGCTTCTCCCTCTCCCAGTCCTCCTGCTTGTGTTCCCCTCTCTCGTGTCTCTCTCTGTCGTATAATAAAGAAACGCTTTAGAAATAAAAAAAAAATTTTTAAAAAAAGAATGAAAAAGGGAAATGCAGCATATCGTTTCCTCCTCTTGGAGATTCATGAGTATCAACATATTAAGGTGTCCAAAACATCTTATAAAAAAGAAACTTGTTTAATTTTGTTCAATCATCCATTTCCCAAGCATATTTAACCACAGATTCTGTTTTTCTGGGAAGCGCCTATTAATATCTTACGGAGCTACTATTTGGAGAAATACAAAATGCTGGAATATGAAAAGAAATCATCCAATTTAAAGAAGTAATGAGAGGAGCCTGGGTGGTTCAGTGGGTTAAAGCCTCTGCCTTCGGCTCAGGTCATGATCTCAGGGTCCTGGGATCGAGCCCCACATCGGGCTCTCTGCTCAGTGGGGAGCCTGCTTATTTCTCTCTCTCTCTCTCTCTCTCTCTCTGCCTGACTCTCTGCCTGCCTGGGATCTCTCTCTGTCAAATAAATAAATAAAATCTAAAAAAAAAAAAGATCTTAAAAAAAAATAAAGAAGTAATGATTGCCAACATGCCATTTCTCCCTGGGTTGGATAACTAATCCACAAAACTGACATCTTAGAAGAATATAAATAATCCCATGGAAATTTATATCCCAATCCCCATCTCTGTATTTGTATCTCTATCTTTATATTTGTATCTCTATCTATATATGATGTACCATACTCAGATATTTACATCCACTAACAGAGATGGTGACTATTCTTTCTGCAATGTTCTGCTTGTTACGTAACTCAATGATCCCTTAACACAGAGGATAATAACAATCTCAAGAACTTGCTAAATCAAAACTCCTTATGTTGGCTCTTGGAGGGATTTCACATAACAACAGCTGGGCATCTTAGGAAACTAAGGATTTGTTTTGATTTCATGTTGATTCAGAAGGAGGTATTTAATTTCCCACATTGCCATGAGGTTTTCCTCTGAACAACACATTATTACACTGTAGTTTGCCAAGGCACAACATTGCATTGCTTTGCTTTCCACATGAGGAAACTGAGGCTCAGATGCTAAATTACTTGTAAAGCTTCACTTGGGGGAAAGGAGAGTCAGAACAGGGATCCAAATTCAGTGTTGTCATTATAGTATTTCCACAATTATTCCAGGGCGCCTGGGTGCCTGGGTCGGTTAAGCATCCGACTCTGGATTTCGGCTCAGGTCATGATCTCAGGGTTGTGGGATCAAGCCCCAAGTCAGGCTCTGCCCTCAGCGGGGAGTCCCCTTGAGATTCTTTCTCTCCCCCTCTGTCTGCCCCTCACCCTGCTCTCTCTCTCTCTCTCAAATAAATAAAATCTTAAAAATAAAATACGTCCCAATCTGGTACATGCCTTTCCAAGATATTTGTTTTTAAAACACTCTTCCATCTCTCTCCAGTGTGGTAAGAACAGAGGACCTGCAAATGTTTGTCATGTTCTCAAAATCTTCTGGCTCTCCCATAAAGTTTCTTCAGCTACTCTGGGCCCCATTGTTCCCTCTCTTCTTGAAATATATAGTAACACAGGGTTGCTTAGAAACTTAGACCTTTCTGGATTCAGAGCCCAGAGTGCTCACCATTACACCACGGAACTCCCAGGAACTTAGACCTTTCTGATGCTGGAACCCTCACTAGACAAGTGGTCATCCGGTTTGTGTTTTAGTATCTCCAGTAAATTGACATAACCTCCCGAGACAGCTAATGCTGCTGAAGTGATTGTTTTCCCACTTAGGTTGATCCAAAATCTATCTCTCTGATATCATACATTGTTGTTAATTTTGTCTTCTAGGGATTCACAAACCATGTGTAATTTATTTTATACATTAAAAAAAGCCTTCAGATAGTTGATGTGTGTGTGTGGGTGTGTGTGGGTGTACAGTGTGGGGAAGGGGTCCAAGTTTCTTCTTTTGTTAAACAGATGCTCTTTTTTCTATAAATGGAAAAATCCATCTCTTCTTTGACTTATCCTCTAACAAGTACCATGTATACAGGATTCTCTTTTGGACTTTCTCTTCTGTCCCCCCTGCCTTAGATATTTGTCTCCATACCAATGTCACATCATGTTATTGCTCTGGCTTTATAGTGAGTTTTTATATCTAGAAATGCATCTCCTTCTCTGGATTTTCTGGGTTGACTTGACTATTTTTGGCCCTTTAAACTTCCATAAATATCTTAGAATCAGCTTTTCAAGTTACACACACATACCACAATATCTCTGAGGATTTTTTGAATTGAGATTGCACGAGTTAGTGAATCTGTTTGAGGAAATTAATCTCTTCATTCTTCTGAATTCTCTAATTCATGAAAAAAGCATATAGCGCCATTTATTTAGGTTCTTTGGAAATGTTCTTCAATAAAATTTTATAATTTTCTTTTTTAACTTTTTTTTTTAATAGGGTTTGGTTCTTGAATTCACGACCCTGAGATGACTAATATATTTGACTGAGCTGAGATCAGAGTTGTGCTTAGCCAGCTGAGCCACCCAGGCACCCCCAAAGGGAACCACCATCTTGACTTCTCACACTGTAGTGTAGAACTTTGTATAAACTAAACTATACATAATGTAGCCTGTTACTTCCAGCTTCTTTGTTTAATGTCTTCTGTGTGTGATTCACACACATTGTTGTGTGTCATGGCAGATTGTTCCTTGATATCCAGCATTCCAGCACATGGATATATGACAATATATTTATCCATCTGACTGCTGGTGAATGATTCCACTGTTTCCAGTTTACAGCTATCCAATGGGGCTGTGAATATGCTTGTGGATATATTTGGTCCACAAGTTCATGTTTTTCTGTTGAGTCAATTGTATGCACATGTTCAACTTTAGGCAATAATGCCAAACCATTTTTCAAAGGACTTACACCAGTGTGTACACTCACCAGCTGTATGAGACTCTTCTGGATGTCCACCAGCACATGGCTCTGTCAGTCTGTGCTGACTAAAAGATACCAGGTAGCTTGAAGCAGAAATCATTATTTTTCATGATTCTGTGGGTTTGCTGGCCTCACCTGGGCATTGTTTCTGCTGCCTATTATGGCCTGGGGTCATTCATATGGTTGTATTCACTTGGAAGCGCGGTTGAAAGAGAAGACCCCAAGATGGCTTCATTCACACATCTGGTGCTTGGGCTGAGGTGGCTGAAACAGCTTTGGGCTGCCTCGACCTCTGTTTCTCCATAGGGTCTCTCATTATTCTGTAATCTAGCCCATGCTTATTTACACGGCTGCTAGATCCTAAGCATACAAAAAGACAAACTGCAAATCTTCTTAAGGCCTAGACCCAGAAGTAACACATCTTCACTTTATCAACATCCTTTGGTCAAAACAATGAACAACTGAATCTTGTTAACAACCATGTGAAGGAGCTTCAAACCCTTCAAATGAGCCTGGAGACCTAGCCAATGCCTTGAGTGCAGCCTTGGGAGAAACTCTGAAGCAGAAGTACCTGTTATGGCCTTAATCGTGCCCCTCCCCCCAATTTCATGTTGAAGGCCTAACCTCCGCTCTAACTCTATTTGGAGACAGAGTGTATAAAGAAGTCATGAAATTTAAATGAGGTTATAAGGGTGGAACCTTAATCCAATAGGACTGATATTTTCATTAGGAGAGGAAGAGACACCAAAGATCTCTCTCTCTCTCTCTCTCTCTACTCCCCACCCATCCCACCCGGTGTGCACAGAAGAAAGGCCTTGTAAGAACACAGAGAGAAGGTGCTGTGTACAAACCAGACAGAGCAGTCTCATTTGACATCGGCCCTGACAGCACCTTGATCTTGGCCTTCTAGCTTCCAGAACCATGAGAAAACAAAATTCTGTTGTTCAAGGCATTTAGTTTGTAATATTCTGTTACGGCAGCCCTAGCAGACGAATTATGTACTCTGCTATGCTCTGTGTAGATTCCTGACCCACAGAAACTCCGAGATAATAAGGATTTGTTGTTTTGTGCTATTAAATTTTGGGGTCACTTGTTATGCAGCAATGGACAACTATCACATTAGCCTAAGTTTGTTCTCTCTATACTCTTTGTTTCCTAAAAAGACAGACAGCTGGAATGCCCTTTTTAAGCCCTTCAAATTATTGTTTTCCAGGGAAGAAAAAGTATTCCTGGCTGGCACAGAATTGTTCCCATTTCTGAGTCATTTTCCCAGCAAAGTGAAAAACAACCGTGGTTTAGATCCACATTTGGGTGTGAATGCATGAGGACAGAGTAAATTGCAATGACTTGGAGTTCATGAACTCCCTTTGCATATTTGTATGGATTTTTCCTCCACGGATGTACATATACATCATTTGCTATAATTTTTTCTCTGTAAATATAGAGATGTGAATGAATGGCTACAATTATGTGATTCCTACAAGGACATTAATATACTGAATATTTCTAGGTGATCATCATTAAGCATCTATTGAAATGAACCTATATTTCTTAGGGCTGGAAGAAAATAATTTGCTGAGATGTCAGCAGGGGATTCTTCTAGAAAAACCTTGGAAATGGAGTGCTTCCATACAAGATTCAGTGCCTGGACACCTTTTGGCAACAAGTTATTGAACAGACAGGTAAGTTACATACTCTAGAACAAAACAAGGTTAATTTGTAAGGCAATTTTACTGTGATAAATTGGGTCTCATGTTGCCATATGAAACAACAACAACAAAACCTCTAAAGAATTTAGTGTTGGGGTCACTTCAAACGAAAGTAAACCTGCATTTGTCTGCACCAAAGACAGTCTCTTCTCACCTCAGTCCCCAACTCCTACTTTATGGGGAAGCTCAAGGTCTGCCTCCCTTTTCCTCTGTACCTCCAGGGACAAAATAGAAGCCTCCAGAACACACAGTATGTTGGGGGAGAGACAAGAGGAGCTGCTTTTGGTGGTATTTGGTGTGGAGAGTATTAATGTGTAATTAATTCTCTGCATATTTCTTTAATCCTCTCTTCTTTCCCGTGCCAACAGTCAGTTTGATGGCCTGGGGATGCCCACTCCTATGAAAGGTAGTTAGTAGGTCACCAGATGGCTTAGGCAGCCCTTAATGGAGAAGGCTGACAGCAGATGTGGGTTCAGTCCTGTTCCCAAGGGAAGGAGACTAGCCGGGCTAGGGCCCAAGCCTGACTCAGGAAGAAAGCCAGTAGGTTTGTGTATATCATCTGAGCAAAGCTGGACTGAAACCTAGATTTGAGGGGGTGGGGTGCTGTCCTTGGTGTATCTCTTCCTTAGAGACATGTCTAACAATGGCTGCTTAGCAATATTTATTAACTTTGTTTTGGTAGGAACTGTGAGGATGTAGGACTGTGGGTTAGTAAAATCATACCTTCTTCAAATGGTCCCATTTTCACAATTTAAGTGTAGCCTGTATGTGTTTTCATGATGAAATGTTTGGAATCTGTTACCCCAGGCCACATTCGTTTAGGTAGAAACAAGAGCCAGGATTCATTACCGCTTTGTTTTCCAAAGGGGCCCTCCTAAGGACCCACTGTAATTACATCCCCTGACCAGCCTTTCCCACCAGCCCACCCAACAAGCCTGGGCTTGTCTCCATCCCCAGATAAAAGCAGTTTAAGCTGAAGGGACAGACCCCTACTACGTAGTGAAAAGGGCTTTGTGAACTGTAATGTGCTGTGCAGTTATTAGCTGTGATGTTGCGAGATGGCCTAAGGACTGTTTAGCAACTAAGAATAGATTGAACTTTACAGGAAAGTGATATTTTCTCCCCCTTACAGCTCTTTCAGGAAAGAGTTGCTCTTATAAGTCATTGGTTTGACCTCTGGACTCACAAGCAACGTCAAGAATTCTTGTTCACGATTTTTTTACGATGCACCAAATCACAGTTAAGGTAAATGTAGCCTAAGGATGCAATTAGCATGGGTTCTGAAAGGAAATAAAATCTGGTAAAATGTTTATCTAACCTTCTAGGGTTTCTCCCCTCTCCCCTTCCCCAAAATAACAAATAAAGCAATTGGCATTTTAAAGTTTACAGACAGAATCTTCTAGTGCTGCTTCCTCCTTGAGGATGAAATGGAAACTTGGGGGCTTTCACACCTTCCTACCGCAGTGGGATATTTGGTTTTTGTAAACATCAGAAGCTTCAGCCAGTGAATTTTTAACATTCCCTTACTATATTGGATTCTCCTCAGAACCATCAGACGGACAAACAATATATTTCAAGTAGATATCTGGCACATAGGCAGTCCAAAAATAATTGTAACACGAAAAGATGGATCTGAAAAATACCCAAGGAGTGACCATGGTAGCAACATTTAGGAATATGCACAAGACTCGTATTGCAGTGGCCGTGATTGCCAGTGGGTCCTCGTTCTTATTCCTGCCCTGGCCTCCCGTAGTGTCTGCCATTTGCTTTCAGATACTCCAGCAGAGGTGGTGTGCTATTTGAAAGCATTGGTTGAAATTACATGCAAGAGCAGCTACCATTTTGATCAGGAATTAATACTCTCAGGGTGGTTAGCTAGTATTGTATTGGAAAGGTCACAATGTCTCAGTTATTACAAGATACTTTGCTAATGAGCAGAGCCAATATCAGACATCAGTTATCATCAGAACAGCCAGCGGCTTGTTCATTTGTCAGAGGAATGTTAGAAATGGAGAAATTAAAGGTATTCAGGTGTGGGATGGAAAATGTTCGGGAGAGCCCTCCAACATGCCTGGGCCTGGTTGAGGAATCCAGCCAGCCTGGTAGCAGGTGCTTATAGGGCTTTATCCCCAGGTAAATGGCCTTGTCAGTCTAGGGATTTCTGGTAGCCTGAGGCTCTCAAGGAGGGTAATAATGGAATCCCATTTCTAGAACACTGTACTTTCTCAGTTGAGTAAACCTTTGCCCAAAGGACAGAGAGCCGGGACTTCATCGAGCCCATGGAGGAGACTGTATGGAGTGGTTGGGGCTTGTTTGCTAGGTTTGTTTAGGGAAATTCTGGGTATGGCATCATTTGGGGTTAGCTGTTTTTAGTACAACCTGGTGGTAAGGTTATAACCATTGAACTTCTTAGGTAGCTTCCAGAAAGTATCAGAGTTATGCAAAACCAAATTGGCTTATTTTAGTTTGCAATACCTGCCTTGCACTCTTTCTCACACTTCCTTTATCTTGCTCTTTCAATCAACCATTTCATCTCTCCTACCTGTTTGCTCGTCTTCTCCCTCGTCTGCTTTCTCCTGCATCCGGGAGTGTGTGGTGGGTCACTAAGAGACTGACCCTGATGGAGTCACCAGGTTACTGGAAGCAAACAGACACCTTCCTGGCTGAGTTGAGAGAGGCTGCAACGACAGGCCACAGAAAAAAATAGGCTCTTTCGTCAATGCTTAAAAATCAGGGAAGGGAACTTTTCATAGCAGTCATTGGCTAGGTTTCCTTTTACTCCAACTTTACAGCTTTCAAGATAAAATAACAGACCGAAACCCAAATCTGTAATTGCTTGCGGTACATCATGTCCTAGTCTCATGTATCATAAACCACGCAATTTTAGCTGTAACCACTGGAGGTCATTAGAGATCGTGTGGTGTATTTTGAGGCTCATTAACATCAGGCCTGACATTTTGTCACTGGAAACTGTATCCTTTGTCTGGTACCTGCATTCTTTCTATGGCACAAGGATATGGAACTAATCTGTTCAGTGGAATTACTTCGCTCTGTTCTGTAGCAGCTGGTTTTCTGCAGAGAGCTGTCTACCATAGTTGCACGAAGCTATAATTCCATATTTTTTTTTTTTTTTTAGAAGTTGTGTCAATTTCTGGTCTCTAGAGCTGGCATCCTGAAGCCAGCTCTGACTTGTAGTGGTAGATTTTGTTGTTGAACATCAATTAGTTTATTCCCCCAAGTCCGGATTAGGTCTTTCTTCTCCTACTTCCTCCCCATCTCTCTGGGTCAGCCATGTCTTCTCTCCTGCCAACATTTACAGAAACCATTTACCGATAGTCTAACCCAGTTTGAGTTGTGCTTGATTTTTATTAAATCTAAAAGCCCAATTCATTTTATTTTTTAAAGTTAGTGCAATCAAATTCCTTTTAAACATCTTTATTGAGATATAATTCACATAGAGTAAAACTCGTCATTTAAAACCACAGAGTTAGTGGTTTTAGTGTATTCACAGAACTGTGCAACTATGACCAAACTCTAAGTTTAGAACATTTTCATCACCCCAAAAAGAAACCTGCTACCCATTAGACGTTAACTCCGCATCTCCATCCCCAGCGCTGGGCAACCACTAACCTACTTTCTGTTTCTATAAATTTGCCTTTTCTGGACTTTTCAAATAAATGCAGTCTTAAAGCATGTGGTCTTTTGTGACTGGCTACTTTCATGTATTATAATCTTATTAAATAACAAAAAGCAACCAAGTACATGGGAAGATCAAATTGGCTTTATTAAATGGTTCATGAGGGCTCCTGGGTGGCTCAGTCAGTTAAGCATCTGCTTTGGGCTCAGGTCATGATTCCAGGGTCCTGGGATCAAGTCCTACATTGGGCTCCCTGCTCAACAAGGAGTCTGCTTCTCTCTCTTCCTATGCCCCTCCCCTGGCTCGTGCTCTCTCTCCCTCTCTCAAAAATAAATAAATAAAACCTTTTAAAAATGTTCTCAAAGGGGCACCTGAATGGCTCAGTGTGTTAAAGCCTCTGCCTTCAGCTCAGGTCATGATCCCAGGGTCCTGGGATCAAGCTCTGCATTGGGCTCTCTGCTCAGCCGGGAGCCTGCTTCCCCCTCTCCCTCTGCCTGTCTCTCTGCTTACTTGTGATCTCTGTCAAATAAATAAATAAAATCTTTTAAAAAAATGTTCTCAAGTATATAAAGGCTTCATCAAGAATATGAAATAAACATGTTATTAAGTAAGCAAATGAATGGTTCACAAATCCAGCAACACCCCCTCTAGCAAGTAGAGCAGCACTCTGAGAGGTCATACAAAACAAAATGTTAGGAAGGTTTTTTATGGATGGAGGATGGGGGGCAAGACATGCAAAAGAAAAGGATTGTTCCAAACAAGGGTGTTTGCTAGGGGAGAAGCAGCATGTCTTATCATGCAGATTACCTCATCTTTCCTTGGGGGATGGAGAGGACCTGGGTGATATGGAAAGAAACATGTTCCTGACTGACCGGTTAAGGCCCCATTTCTGGGGGAGGCTGAAACTGCAATTAGATCTGGTATTAAGCCCAATTTGGCAACTTGGTCTAACGTGACACCATTTGGGGACTGTGGTTTCCTTTTTTTTTTTTTTTTTTTTTTTAAAACAATGTTCTCAAGGTTCATCCATTTTGCAGCACATATTAATATTCCTTTCCTTTTTATTGTTAAATGATCTGCCATGGTACGGCTATACCATATTTTATCAATCCATTCCTAAGGACATTTGGGTTGTTTCCGCATCTTGGCTACTGTGAATAATGCTGCTCTGAACATTCGTGTGTTGGTTTTTCTATATGGATGTCTTTATTTCTTTTCGATCTGTTGCTGGGTCAAATAGTGACCGTGCAATCAACTTTTAATTAACAAGCATTTCTTTTGAACCTTATTCATTCCTATAGTCCCTGCTCCCCCACCACTTAAAAAGCAAGCGCGAATACATGAGAGAATTCAGCATTACTTGAATGTCTGAAATCTTTCTGTGAAAGCTAGGCTGGATTTGTGCAATTTCTGAATAATTTTTTTTTTTTTTAAACCAGGCACTTACAGCTACAAAGCTTAACTAGAATATTGTGGTATTTGTTGGGACTGTGTTGTCACAGTTTTCTTTGAAAGTTTCTTCTTAATCTCCATGAGATGTATTCCAATATCTAAGATTTTTCTTTTCTGTCCTTATATTCCATATTGTTAAGATTTATTTTTTCAATTTATTATTATTATTATTTTGGTGGGCAGCAAAGTGAGGTTTATTGAACACTAGTAAAGTTTATTGAATGATAAAAATGAGTACAAAGCTTTAAGATTTCTTAAATGAAGTTTTATGATATTTAAGACATTTTTCAAGGGTTCATCTTCTTATATCGTAGCTCGGGCAAGCTCTTCCTCACCTTGACTTTGATGGCCCCTTTCCTGGGAAGCCTTCCCTGCACGTCTTTCACTCCCAGCAATTTTTACAAACGTCTATCATGGCTTCTCCCCCAGCACATTATGCTTATATGGCCACCTGTCTAAATGATTCCACTGGTGTCATCCCCCTGCCACTTGGCCAGGCTGAATTTTCCTGACTCCTTAAAGGAAACTGGGCTGTTTGTGTGTCACTCCGAGAAACCCATGGGAAGTTTGCATCTCCTGGCCACACTGGTGGGACCGGTTTCAAATTGCCAGGGCTCCTTGGCAGGCAACGCCCCATACAAAGGCCTTTCATTCCGGGGCTGGAGCTGTTCAAACCTGTAGCTTTCCCTGGTGGGTCCCTGGGGCAACATTCATGCAACTGCAGTCCCAAGACACAGATGGATTGTCTGCTCATGTGGGGGGTGGGGGTGGGGGAAGAGGGAGATTAGGAACAGTGAAGGATTAGCTCTGGTCATTTGTCTCCATCAGCGCCCACTGGAAAAGGGGTGGGGCAGAAAAATCGTCCAGCTAAGAGAGAATCCCCCCCAGTTCCAATTCACTGCTCCCGGCCACTCTTTCCAAGCAGCCCCAGGGAAAGCTCAGGGGACGAGGTCTATCTCATCTGTGAACAGTGAGGAAATCTGGTGTATAAATGTCTCAGAGACAATGTGCATTGGGGTTAATTTTGAATATGGAGCAGCTTCATGTCACTGAGTTCCTGAGCACCCATTTGTAAGGGGGAATATTTCTGGGTGGAGGCAGCGGCCGGCACAGAGGCGTATCAAACGTACACCAGGTTCCTAAACATCCAAGACGA